TATCTTTATTGAATATTTAATTGAGATTTTATATAAAGTACAATTTTGCTTTTAAAATATTATAGAAAGAATAGAAGTTCAGACTAATTTATCTGTGATCTAAACCAACTAGAGTGGCCAAAGCTCACCTAGATTTGAGTGTTAGTAATTATGTATAGGAGATTAGTTTGATATTTAATTTATTGGATATATCAAGAATTTATTTTTAAACTAATAGAATTGAGTGAAAGAGAATATGATAAAAGTGAAGTAGTATTTAAAAATGTGTTATATTCAAGAGGTTGGGCTGTAGATCTTGAAATACAATATGGAATTCAGATTTTGTAATAGATTTGTTGATTTAGATAGAGTAAGAACTTGATTACAAGTGTTGTGACTATTCTTTTGGATGACAAAATTGCAATAATGTCAATAAGTTGGATGGGCAAGTTATCTAGTGAAGGTGAGAACTGATTTGGTGCAATGGTAACAGATAGATAAGTATAAATGATATTGTTTGTATAAAATGTATGAAGTGAGAGATCATTTAGTAGAATTTTAATTCAGAAGAATTTAAAAGTAAAGAACTGAAAGCTGTATAAGAAGTTTGAGATTTTTTAATTGCTATTAATATATAGCCAGATAGCTTGCTAATTAACTTGGTTAGAATTTTGTGCCATTTTTAATAACAGTTTTGTGTAATTTATAATGCATAAATATATATATAACATATTATATAAATACTGTAATGAATAGGTAATTCTAAGGAAAAGTTTTCAAAGTTTAATATGTATGCAAGGTTGTAAATATTGTAAGACATAAAGGTAAGATATAGCAAATTGTAATAACTGCATGCAAGTTGGTCTGCAAAGTTATTGTACTAATCATTCTGATGAGCAGTAACTATATGAAAAATAATATGGATATTGTATAATTTAACAAAGTTAATAAGTGTATTCTATAATGAGAAATATAATGTATGTATATAAGATAGAATATTAGCTAAGTTTGAAAGACTATAATATTTAGAGATTACAGATTGTGAGTTGGTATATATATGTATAGTACAGTTTCTCAAAGAGGTAATAAGAGCTAATAAAATAGCAATGAGCTTAGACTTAAATAAGCAAGGCCAGTATTTTGTTTGAGCCTGAAATGTATACAATATATTATTGTTTAAAATTTGAACTTATCCAATACTTATAAAGCATTGTAAGATGCCTAGGATGATAACTGAGCCATTAGTATAAAAATGAAGTTCTGATAATTGTACATTATAGTTAGCAATTTGTTAAAGATTGTCTGTTAGAGTGCCAAGTTCAAATATAGTTGGGATTAAGCATGTTGTAATGTTGATATTAAAGGTGTTAGAAATTTAAATAGAATATAAATTGTAATAAAGTATATAAGATTGAAATAATTGGTATTGAAGTTAAGAGTCTTGTTATATAAATTAACTTCACCAAAAAATCTAGAAGTGAGGTTGATAGGAATATTGATTATATATTTATTGGCAATTGTATAAAAGTTAAGAGAGCAGTCTAGGCATGCTTGTGATTGAATAGGTAAAAGTAGATATAGATGAGTAAATTGCTGTTTTATATGATATTGCCAGTGAATAAATAAAAGAATAGTTCTTGAAAAAGAGAGTTGTCTTCTGACTTTGCCAGTAATGATTTGATTGTTAAGTACTGTAATAGGCCATGGTTTTTTTTAGAAAGAAAAGTGTTTAGTTGAATAACTATAATAGTTTATATTAGATAAATATAAATGTTGATAAAGAGTATGATTGTGTAAGTGGCTTGTAGTTTGATCTTCTAGATAGTTAAACTATAGTTGTTGTTTGCCTTTAAGAATTTTGTTCATGCATGTAGATATGTGTTTTTAATTTAGAAGACATAAGTTATCAAATATAGTTAGTTGATTTAAATAAAGAATGCAATAGTATTAAAGTTGTTTTTTAAAAGTTGTGTATTTTGAATATGATAAAAGTAGTAATTTAAGTAAAAATAGATTCTTCCTGAACAGTATATAGGATATCATATAGTAGATTATATATAAATGTAATACCAAAGTGTTTGAAAAGTTGGATGATTTTAAAGTTAATAGTATGTTTGTTAGGCCTATCAATAATAGAATTGTCATGTATCAGAATACTAGTAGATAACTACAAGTTGTTCTAAAGTTGTTGGAGCCTAATGTAAGTACTTATGACTAATAAATTAGTAGAATTAAGTCTCTTGGTAAAGTTTGTAATATGATGTTATAGTTGAATATCCCATATATTACAAATATTATATAGCTGAGAGTAAAGTAGTATACTAGTAGGAATTGTGCAACTAAGTTTGGCTTTATTTTTCACAAGATCTATATAACTTGTAAGGATTTTGTTACATATATATTGGTTAAGAACAATGTTGTGAAGATGGTATTCGATTATAGAAATAATAATAGTATTAATGATATAACATGCATATGTATTAGTAATTTGTTTGATGCTTACAATTTTGACAAGATGTAATAATTTTAAAGTAATAAGTTTGGTTTGTTTAACTTGTTTGTTATTAAGTATAAACCAACATCTAAGAAATTTGAATAGTTTATTTGATAAATGAAGGTAAAAAAATAGTTATTATATATGATAGAAGTATAGTTAAATTGTTTGTTATTAGTTTAAGTACCAATTTAGAAAGATTAATTTGTATATTAACCATGTTAAAAAATGATTTAGCTGTGAAAAGGATTTGTAATAGTACTTGTTATAAGGATGCAATCCAGAAAATATTATTCATATAAGCAAGAACTGAGCAGTATGAGCTAAGCTTATTATGTATTTAATGTTTTAGATTAGTTAGCCAAGAGACTTGTGTAGTATAACCTTTAAAGTTGTTATGAATATATAAGATAAGTAGGTTATAATAGATTCTCTATAAAAGAGAAGTAATGGTTTTATCCTAATCAATACTATTGTATACAAGGTATAATAAAGTAAGTCTAAGGTTTGTAATAATTTGATTTTGTTGATCATAAAGAATGTTAGTAATAGCATTTATAATAGAGTGAGAGAGGATAAAAGATTGCAAGGATTTTTGAAGACGAGTAAGATTAACTAAGTCATATAATTTACTCATATCTTGAGATAAAACCAAATTGATTTGTTGTTGCATGATGCATCTTCAATAAGGTTATTAAATATATAGATTGATATAAATGTGCTGTTGTTAAGTAGAACAATATAATTGAATAGTGAAAGTATAGGATGTTGAGAAAACACAGTACTGATTCTAGTAGTAATAATTTTTGTATAGACTTTTCAAATATGTTTAATAAGACTAATAGGATAAATAAGACTTAAATTATCATTAAATATATTACACTATATTTCTATTGTTTGGAAATTTGATTTAAATTAAAGTAACAGTTAAATAGAGCTGTAATAGCTTTAATACAAATAATACTTGCATGTTTAAGCATTTTATAGCTGATATCAGTAGGTTTACAGACTTTTTCATTAGGAAGTTTTGACAAAGTTTGAAGAACTTCTTTTTCTGTTATAGGAGATTTGAGAGAGTTATATCATTGTATATTAATATGTGGTTGTAGTTGATATTGTGTATGCCAAAAGCTGTTAAATAGTACTTGGTCAGTTGGTCAATATACAGTCCAGTCATGGAAGTGAGATTGTATATGCTGTTTTATGAGTTTGAAGTCTGTAATGAGTTTGTTAGAAAGTTTAATGCTAGAAAAGTGAATAGAAGCTTTGTATTAATTAAAAATACTGTTAATAGCTTGTTTAGAGTGTGTTAAAAGTGTTTCACATCTCTTTTTAGTTGCTTGTTGAATTTGTTAATAAAGTAGTAATAAATTTTCTGTATAATAAGCATAATAAAGTTGTTTTCAGATATCTTGTGCATGTTGAATCTATGCATAAATTTGAAAATAGTCATCTGGATCAAGAGTTTATCATATTTATAAGATTGTTATAAGTATTTTTAACAATTTTTATTAAATGCCCAAGCTCTTTAAGTAATATGTAGATTAAGGTAGAGTTAGAAAAATATTTATGATTATAGTTATGTTTATGAGTTTTTTTGTTAGAAAAAGAATGTATTGCAGTATTAATTATTGAATGTTCAATCTTGTGATAATTAGTTTTAATGCTTTTATTGGTATTGCTATTAAGTGTTATATTATGAAGGCTAAGATTGTAAGAGAGAAGGTTAGAGAATTCTGTTTATTTGTCAATTGACATAGCTTTGTAATTGAAAATTCTGTAACTAATATCAGTATGATAGCATGGAAGTTTGCTATATGCATTAGTAAAAGTTTAGATAGATGTAAGAATAGAGTAGTTACTAAGTGTTAAAATATTGCTATTATTAAGTTTGTATAAAAGAAAGAATTGAATATTAAATAAATTAGTTCAGATATAATCAATATAGCTGTAGCCATTATTATTTAGCTATGTAAAGTAATTGTTATTAATATGTGTACCAAGATTAAACATGTTGGAGTGATGTAAATAATTTTAAGTTTAAATTTAGATAAAAAGCTACAAATATTATTATATGTATTAAAGTTTCCAAGTATTATTGGATGAAATTTGTGTTGAAAAGCTTATTAGATCTATATAATAACAGTATTTTGTGTATTGTTACATTAACAACAACATTGTTATTGAAAAAGGTATATTATGCTTTGTGCATGATACTATGTAAGAATTAATAATCTGATATTTACTGTTTACATTCCACATAAGCAGGATGTAAATGATAAATTAATTTTTTTTAATTTGTCTAACTGACTTTAAATTCTTGCATAAGTGTACCTAATCATATTTAGTATTTAGTATCATATTTAGTATCATATTTAGTATATATATAAAGAATATAATACAGTATATGATTTGATGATCTGCATATTTATAATCTGTATTTATAATTATTAATGATAATTGATAATTATTATTATTAATTAATAATTATTAATAATTAATAATCATTATTAATTAATAATTATTAATAATTAATAATCATTATTATTAATTAATAATTATTAATAATTAATAATTAATAATAATAATAATTATTAATAATGATTATATAATAATTAATAATTATTATTATTAATTAATAATTATTAATAATTAATAATTATTATTAATAAGAATTATTAATAATAATTATATAATCTATATTGCAGACTTAATTATAAATAAATTAAAAACTTTATAAATTTAAAATATTTTTTTAAAAAACTTTATTAAATAATTTTTTAAAAAGTTTATTGACATCTTAAAATGTCTTCTAAAAATACAAAACCTGTTTCTTAACATATTCTTAATGCTAATCCTGCTCCTAAAAATGAAACACCATGTGAAAAAACAAATCGATTAGCATATATTTGATATGCTACTAATAAATATTATTAATTAAATTTATATTTAATTCAAAAAGAATCTCAAGCAAGTTCTTCTACTAAATTATAAACTCAATCAAGTAAACTTAAAATACAAAAATATTGAGCTTTACGATCTTTTACACAAAAAATTAAAAAAAATAAAAAATAAAAAAAAATAAAGCAAACAATTCAACAAGAACAAATTAAACAATTTTATAAAATTAGCAATGTGAACTTGAAAATTATAATGAAAATTAGATTAAAAATAATAATATTGAAGCTAAATGTCAAACAATTAAAACAATAAATATAATTTGTAATTATTGCTATACATTAAAATAGAAAAATGAACCAAATTTATTTTGTTATATGAATAGTTAAGTTAAAATTACATTACTTGCATCTATTCCAAATATGGTTTATAATTTATTTACAACAAATAATCCTAATACTGATAGATTATTTGTAAAACAAATTTGAGCATATAATTCAGTATTTGCATTTATTTCTTTAGAAGTAAATCTTAATGAAACATTAGCAAATGTACAGGAAAGTGTTAATATATTTAGAATACAAGAAGCTTTATATTATAAAATTAGTTTCTTAATACATAAAGAAATTGAAGAAAAACATAATCTAAATTTTGCACAAATTTATTTTTATAATTCAAGTTTAGATAATCATATAACAAGATGAATGAATTTAATATCAATATTAAATAAAAATATGATTTAAGCAATTTAAAATGAATTATATGAAATCAATCCATTTATTAATATATTTTATCAAACAGGATTTGAAGCAAATAATTATCCTGATTTTACATTAACAATTCATAATACATATAGAAAGAATATAAAGCAATACAATCAACCAATAATATCAGAAATTGTAGCAATTATTCTAGAAAATTATGAAAATACTGTAATTCAAAAAAGAAATATTTTACTTAAAACATATACAAAAAAGTTACAAAAAATCTCTGAACTACATAGTGCTTATGATCCATTGCAATATTCTTTATTATTTCCTTATGATGAATATGAGTGACTTGACAATATTTTGAGAGCTAATAAAATTATAACTACATTAGATAATGAACAATCTGATGATGAATTTGAAGAATTTGATAATGAAGAATTTGATCCCAATCAAATTTCAATTTATCAAACAACAAGTATTGCTGAAAGTACTGGTATAACAGAAGCATTTGAAAATTTATTAGTTAGATCTGCCTCAAGTATGAGTACAGGATCTAATATTAAGAGGAAAAAAACAGAAATTGAATCTAGTAAAGAAATAGTTGTAGTTAAAAAAAGAAGAACAGAAGTTAAAGAAATATTTGAAATTGATAATAAAAATAAAAATAAAATTATATTAGAAAATGAAAATTTGGATCAAATTCAAGTATACCAATCAAAACAAAAAACAAAACGAGTTACAATTCAAGAATTTGTTGTTTATAGAATTCAAGTTCGAAATTATAATAAAATACAAAATATTTTACATTTTTCTGGCTATTTATTTTAACAATATTTAGTAAATTAGTATGTCAAATAAAAATCAAATACTTTATGATAGTATAGAAAAAATCAATTACAATTTAGATCTGAAATTTATTTAGATCTGCAGAACATTGTTAATTCTGATGATACTACTATAAAAAATATTAGCAAAAAAGTTATTTTAGCATCATCTTTTACTGGATCTCAACAATATATGCAACAACTATATCAATATTCTATGGCAATTGTTAAAGAATATGGCAAACCTGATTTATTTGTTACTGTAACTTGCAATCCTAAATGACCAGAAATAATTAATGAATTATTAAACAGATCTGAAAATAAAAACCAAGTTTTTGACAGACCTAATATAGTTGCTAAAGTTTTTAATAAAAACTTCAAAGAATTATACAAGAATTATTTATAAATAATGTACTTGACAGAGTTATTGTACATGTTCATACAATTAAATTTCAAAAAAGAGGACTGCCATATGCACATATTCTTATAATATTGGCATCAAAAAATAAGCCAAAAACATCTGAAGATTTTGGTAAAATAGTTTGTGCAGAAATTTCTGATAAAAGTCACCAACCTCTGCTTTATGAAACAGTAAGCAAAAATATGGTTCATGGCCTCTGTGAAAACTTGAATCCAAAATCACAATGTATAAAAAATGATAAATGTAGTAAACATTATTATAAAGAGTTTACTACAACAACATTAATTAATAAATTTGAATATCTAATTTACTAAAGAAGTGATAATGAAAGGACAATTAAAAAATGACAATATATTATTAATAATAAATAGATTGTTTCTTACAATCTATATTTTTGTTAAAATATAATTGTCATATTAATGTAGAGATATGCTCAAGTATTCGATTAGTAAAATATTTTTATAAATATATTTATAAAGAATCTAATCAAGCTATTATTAAAATTGGAAATTCTAAAAATAAAATTAAGCAATATATAAATGCAAAATATGTTTCTGCTATTGAAGCATGTTGAAAATTATTCAATTTTGGCTTGCAAGAAAGATCACATAAAGTTAAATGATTACTAGTTCATTAAGAAGATCAGCAATCTATTATTGTTAACCAAAATAAACAAATATCTACTGTGTTGGCAAAATTTTTTAATACAAAATTAACAAGCTATTTTGATATATGCAATGCAAATCAAAATGATCCTAATATAATAAATTTACAATATATAGATTTTCCAAAATTTTAATAGATTCTTGCAATGAAGAAAACAAGGTGGTAAAAAAATTATTTTTTAGAATGTATATGTATAGTCTACATAAAAAGAAAAGATTCTTTTTCAAATGTTATTAGCTCAAGTCAAAGGTGCTATTAATTTTAAAGTAATTCAAACTGTAAATAGAATGCTTTATAATACATATGAAGATGCAGCTTACCAACTTGGATTATTGGATGAAGAAAATAATGAATTTGATAAATGAATTAAAGAAGCTACATCTTTTAAAATACTATCAAAATTATAATAATTATTTGCCTCAATCTTACTATTTTGTGATCTACAGAAATTGGATCCAAAAAATTATTTTATGAAAATATACATTTTTTAGTTGAAGATTATGAAAAAAAACAAAAAAGACTTACAAAAAAAAAATAAATTAACTGCTGATGAATATCGAGTAATCATTACTAAAGCATTAATAAATATTGAAAAATATTTATTATATTATGAAAAACATTTAACTAATTACTCATTTCCTGCACTTGATTATAGTTTGGTTAAAGATGCTGAAAAATATAGTATATGAAATCAGGAAGTTGATTTTGATTTAAATGAAATTAATTATATATTACAAAAAGAATATCTTTTGAATATTGATCAAAAATTAATTTATAATACTATTATTAAAGCTTTAAATGAAAATAATGCAAATAATAAAAACAATACAACCAAACAAAAAGTCTTTTTTGTTAATGAACCTGGATGTATAGAAAAAACATTTTTATTTAATATGCTATTGACATGAACAAGAAGAAGTTTTGAAATTACTCTTGCTATTGCTTTATCTGGAATTGCAGTTTTACTATTAACTAGAGAAAAAAATGCACATTCCAGATTTAAAATTTCTTTAAAAATTACTAAAACTACAACTTTAAATATTAGTAAACAGTCTGATTTGACTGATTTAATACAAAGTAGTAAGCTTATAATTTGGGATAAAGGACCAATAGCACATAAATATGCATTTGAAGCACTTGATCGAATACTCAAAGATCTAATGAAAAATGATAAACTATTTGGAGAAAAAATTGTTATAATTAGTAGTGACTTTAGACAAATTTTGCCTGTTGTACTTTGAGGAACACAAACATAAATTGTTAATGCCTGTATTAAATATTCTTATCAATAGAAATATATTAAAACATTGGCATTAACAATTAATATGAGACTTTAAAACCAGAATGAAGAGGAAAAAGAATTTGCTGATTATTTATTTAGAATTGATGAAGGTCATGAACCAATATATACTGATATTGGTAATAATATTGTGAGATTAGATGATAATATAGTTTTTAATAATGAACAAATTGAATCATTAATATTGGATACATTTTCTGATATTAGTAATAATTATCAAACTAATAATTATTCAAATTATATTAAAGATTAAACTATTCTCATATTAAAAAATGATAATATAGCATATATTAATAAGCAAATTATTAATATATTTCTAGGACATTCATATGAATTTTTATTAGTAGATTCTGTTGAGAATAAGGATTTAGTGCATTAAAATCTTTATCCAATTGAATTTCTAAATACTTTGACATCAAGTGAAACTTCTCCTTATAGATTAATATTAAAAATTGAAGTTTCAATAATTTTATTATATAATATTAGTCCTAGTAAGGTCTTTGTAATAGAACTAAATTAATTATTAAAGAAATTTAACAATATGTTATTAATGCAGAAATTGTTACAGGCTCACATTTTGAAAAATAAGTTTTTATTCTTTAAATTTAAATAGCATCTTTTGATTCATATTTATCATTTCAATTAATTTGATATCAGTTTCCAATATCTTAGTCTTTGAAATAACTATTAATAAAGCACAAGGCCAAACAATTCCATATATTGGTTTATATTTGCCAATATCTGTATTTGTCTATAAACAACTATATGTTGCTTTATCTAGAGTTAAATAAAGAAAAAAATATTAAAATATTAGTTAAAAATAGGCAAAACAATATTATAATTGGAATATTTATAAAAAATATTGTATATAAAGAGATTTTTGAGTAATTACATTATATATATTATATATATTATATTTATTTACTACTATATTTATTTATTATTAATTTTATTTATTTTATAAATTATATATTTTGTATATTCTATATATTTTGTCTATATTATATATTTTATTTATATTATAAAATTTTTATATTTATATTTAATAAATACTTTTATTATATTTAATTTTATATTTTAATAATTTATTATATAATTAAATAATTAAAACAACTCTTAGACCTGAGATTTAGATTAAATAAGGTCTATTTTCTAAGCAACATCTGGGCCTAAGACCTAGATTAATTAAGGTCTATTCCTGAAGCAATGCTCAGGCCTAAGAACTAGATTAATTAAGATCTATTCTTGGAGCAACACTCAGGTCTAAGATTTAGATTAAATAAGATCTATTCTTGAAGCAACACCCAGGCCTAAGACCTAGATTAATTAAGGTCTATTTCTAAAGCAATGCCTAGACCTAAAACATAGATTAATTAAAATCTATTTCTAGAGCAACATCCAGACCTGAGATTTAGATTAAATAAGATCTATTTCTGAAGCAATGTCTGGGTCTAAGACCTAGTTTTTGCATATTGGTAGAAGAAAGATAGATAGCTATAATTCAAAGTTTAATTTTACTTTTGAAAAATAGATCTAAAGCAATTGCTCCATTAGAATGTGTTTGGCAGTTGTGTACATGTAATTGTAAATGTTTTTGAATCATAATAGTAGTACTTTTTGCTAAACTTCCTGAATTGACTTAGAAGTAGGTGAATAAGTTGTTATTGTGAAATTGAAGATTAGTACTGTTAGTGATTTTGGTTTTAGTAATACAAGAAATATGGATATTATTATAAAAATAATAATTTTGCCAAGCTTTTTTTTTAGTTACTGTATTATAACCTCTAACATTATATATACAAATGTTTAAATGAAGGTCATGTAAAGTTTTTATAAGTGTAGATACTTGTAATATAGTGTGACTATTAAAAAACAAATTAGGTAGAATAAAAGTAGAATTAAAGGAATTTGATCTAAAAGAAAGATTGTAAAAGATAAAAAAAAAGATAAGGATGGATAACAGTATAATTAAGTATGAAGAAGTTATTTGGAAGATATATATGTATTTTATTATAAATATTGCTAACAGAAAAAGTAATACTAGAGACAGTGTTATTATGGTTATGTTTGTTAATATGTTGTATAAGAGATTAAATAGTTTGATTATAAGAAAGAAATAGTAAGTTGTAATAAAGAAGAAATTTGTTAAAATATGTATGAAGATCATAGAGTCTTAAAAATATTAAGAATGACCTTCTGAGATTGTTTTCTACAAGGTCAATTACTGTATACTTGGTTCTTACTGCTGTACAAGGTATCAAAGTCTGTCCTGTAGATTGGGTCTGAATGTAATTATATTGGCCTTCCATATAAATAAGCTTTACTATCTGTCTACTTACATTATTTTTTCTATTAACTACTGTGAATATGTTATTTAATAGAATGGCAGCTGTATCTATAGGTTTTGTAGAAGACAAATTTATTGAAAAGAAGCCTGTTCTTCTTGTTTTAAGAAGAGTAACTCTGCAATAGATGTAGGTATTTCAAATTTGATGTTGAATTTTTTATGCAAAATTATTTTAGCTTCTAGTAATGCTTTTTTTTTGTAGAATTTGGTTATTATGAATAGTTAAAAAATTCATTATGAGTACAGTCAAAGTATGTAATAACATATGCAAGAAAGTCAGTATCAATAAGTTTAGGTGTAAGGAAATTAATAACCTGTTTTTTTTATTTTGTCAATATTATAGTTTTTAGTAGCAGTATTTTGGTAAATAATATACTAGACAGACAGTATCCACAAACATTAAACTACAAAAAACTACCAATATTCAGCTAACTCAGAAGGCAAAACTTCATAGATTTATACAGAAACCTGTACCCAACAAGAAAAGCATACACATGATCAAATCAGGAGACAGCTACAAGAATAGATTATATCTGGCTATTAAAAACCCCTGCATCATGTTTACAAAAAGCTAATATCAAAGAAGCAGAAGGTTTGATAGACAACAATCATAAAATAATAGCAACAGAAATATGGGTAGAACACATAATTGCAAACTGCAGTAAGGTAGAGATTAAATAAAAAGACAAACAAGAACAATATACCTATACAAAAAAGCAAAACAAGAAGATTGGGAAGAATATGCAAGAGAGCTACAAAATCAGCTAGAATGGAAAAGAGTATTAAAATAACTTGAAGATGATAATATAATAACAGAATATAAAACCAGATATTGGACCAAATGTAAGATGCAATAGAAGAAGCTATAATTAAAATGGCAAACAAGCAAATCCTAAAAAAGAAAAATTTCAATACTAATTTAAAGAAGACAAAACCAGAAAAAGATAATGAAACACAAACACATCATCGAACTTCAGCAAATAATCAAAAAAGCAAGAAGTAAGAAGAATCAGAAAGTAAAAAAGAATGAAGGAGTTGAAATAAATAATAAGCTCCAAATTATAGAAAAAGAGTTAGAAGCAATATTGCCAAAATTACACAGACAGTGGTCAGAAGCCTAAATGATGATATGAAAGATTGGCAAAAAATAGTTAAGAAGAAAAGAAGAAAGAAATAAGTACAAAGAAAACAAATAGAAGAAAACATAAACAGAAGATGTGAAATGATCAGAACAGATTAAGGTCAAATAATCACCAGCCTACTAAATAAATTATACAAAAAGATTGTTCTAAACAGATTTATAATGTAAGACAAAGAAGAAGTTAACCTAATATCAGAACCAGATACAGTCCTAAATGAGTTGGCAGCTCATTTTAAAAACTAGTTTAGAAAATTAAACCAAACTTGAAGAAATAACAGAAGAATGAAAAAGAGTATATAACTTAAAAGATTGAATTGATGAGACCTGGTATAGAAAATTAAAAGAAAGAATAAAAGAAAAAGAACAGGAAAAAATACTTAGAGAGCTTAAAGCAAATACAGCCCTAGGAATATTAAGCATATGCTACACATTAATGAAACATGCAGAGAAGAAATCACAAAAAGATTTTTAGAGGCTTTGCAAATCTGATTTTAGAAAAAGGAGATATACCAAAGAAGTAAAAAGTTGCACAAATATATTCAATCCTGAAAGACGTAGACTAAAGTTATTGCTTAAACAATATTAGACCAATAACATTAATAGATACATTTAGAAAAATTGTTACAAAAGTAGTAACAAGAAGATTAGCCAAAGTGTTTATAGAAAGAAACATACTCAAAGGACCAAATTTCACAAGCCTGCCAGATAATTCAACAGAGCAGCCAATATACATACTAAACATGATAATGAAGAAGGCTCAAGAAAAGAATAAAGAAGTATGGATTTTGTTACAAAATATAAAAAAAGCATTTGACTCAGTTTTATTAAAAAGCCTAAACTGGGCCTTAAAAAGAGTTAAAATTCCACAAAAAACAAGGAAATATATAAGTAAT